AACTACAAGCCTATTAACGCTGGTGTTCCACAAGGCTGCGTGCTATCACCAACACTGTTTCTTCTGCTTATCAATGATATGTTGCAAGCCGGTAGCATTAATTGCTATGCGGATGACAGCACTGGTGATGCTCTATACACCGGCCGTGCCAATATTTCTCGGGAAAACGTCATGTCATCGAGTACCGGAACAAACTTGTGTCTGAAGTCGAGTCTTGCTGGACAAAGTCTCGGATTGGGGGCGACTAAATCTGGTCCAGTTTAATCCTCAGAAGACACAAGTTTGCGCGTTTACCGCTAAAAAGAACCCCTTTGTCGTATCTCCTCAGTTTCAAGGTACTCCCCTTGTTGCCTCAGCCAGTATCGGAATCCTCGGCGTCGAGATATCGAGTGACGTGCAGTTTCGTGGTCACTTGGAAGAGAAGGCCAAATTGGCCTCTAAAAAGCTTGCCGTGCTCAGCCGCGCGAGACAGTATTTCATGCCAGCTCAATGCCTGCAACTTTACAAGGCGCAGGTTCGGCCTCAGATGGAATACTGTTCCCATCTCTGGGCTGGGGCTCCCCAGTGCCAGCTCCTTCCACTTGACCGCATCCAGTGCAGAGCGGCTCGAATCGTCGACGACCGAGTCTTTTCCGATCGGCTCGACTCATTGGCACTGCGAAGAGATGTTGCATCTCTTTGCATTTTCTTTCGCATTTACCATGGGGAGTGCTCTGAGGAATTGTTCGGATTAATCCCAGCCACCAAATTTCACGAACGCACATCGCGGCAGAACTCCCGATACCATCCACACCATCTGGATGATTAGCGGTCCCCCACTGTGCGATTTAGAAGATGTTTTCTTCCTCGCACACAACTTCCTTGTAGAATAGTTTACCACCAGCGATTTTTCCAGACCTATACGACTTAGGGACCTTCAAGAAAAGAGCCTACTCCTTTTTAAAGGCCGGCAACGCATCTGCAACTCCCCTGGTGTTGCTGTTGTTCATGGGCGGCGGTAGTCACTTACCATCAGGTGAGCCGCATGCTCGTTTGCCCCCTCTCCAATAAAAAAAAAATTAAATGCAAATAATAAGTATAAAGTTCAAATATGTTCATTTGGAATATTGAATATTATAGTATAGATAACGCATCAATTTTCTCTAAAAATCTTTAAATTTATTAAAATTCTGTTTAAAATATTCAAAATGTATTAAATCATATAAATACAAGTCGATTACATTGGCAGCATGACGCATACCCAAGGTTGTACATATATATATATGGGGTGGTCGGCTGATCGACTGCTAGTACTAAGGTTGCACAATGACTAGTCCTATATTAGGGACTTATCATAGTAAGGTCTAACGAACCAAAGCATTCATATAGAAGGTCTCTATGATGCATAAGCATGATTTGAAGTCCCATATGAATAAGACATGCAATAGTATGGTCTATGAAACAAAGCAAATATGTGGAAGGTCTCAAATATGTAAAAGCATTATATTGAAAAAAATGGGACTTGAAAAGGATTATTATAATGGCGTGTAGGTTGTTTCACAACCTCCGAGACCGAGGTAAACTTGGACTCGCTAACCGATGTGTCCTAGACATATCATCTTAGTGTCGGTGGTAAGCGGGTTTGTTGTAGCAATACGACTTACCCGTGGACATCGCACGGCCCTACCGTTTGTGGGTGGCGTCTTAGCGCATAGCGTTATGATACGTTGGCTATCTTTCGGATTAGGGTGAGTGTGTTTGATAGTACTTTTAAGTGCAGCAAGCATACTCAACTCCATGTCTTAGTGCAATAGTGCTATGATACGTGGAGTTTTGGCTAATGACGTCTTAGTACCGTGCTACTATGATACGTTGGTGGTTAATCGATGTGTCCTAGACATATCATCTTAGTGTCGGTGGTAAGCGGGTTTGTTGTAGCAATACAACTTGCCCGTGAACATCGCACGGCTCTACCGTTTGTGGGCGGCGTATTTGCGTATAGCGTTATGATACGTCGGCTACCTTTCGGATTGGGGTGAGTGTGTTTGGTAGTACTTTTAAGTGCAGCAAGCATACTCAACTCCATGCCTTAGTGCAATAGCGCTACTATACGTGGAGTTTTGGCTAAGTCTAAATCTAAGTGGCGTGTTACTATGACAGGTTGGTGGTATTTTGCGGTTGGTGCTGTCTGCTGGGATTGTATGGGGGACCTTGGGACGGTGCAAGCCCGACGATAGTCGTATTGATGTTTGTTGCGTTCTGCAGTTCTCAGTCTCTGCGATGATTGTTTGGCGGGTCGCTATTCTCAATGGCGCTCCCTGCGTCTTGGTTTGACTCGCAACCTAAGTAGCTTTACCCAAGTCGGGTCCCTTCATTGCGGAGCTGCAGACTGTCTGTCCCCCATGATGTTTTACATGATAACATAATAATATATCTCTATAAAGTTCCCACCTTTGAAAGATTGAAGGCAACTTGTTGGTGGGTGAGACAAACATGATCGAGAAATGCATATACTTAACCTCAGTGACACAAACCCTTTCTGATGGCGAATTATTACTATTATCTTATAACTGCCTATTGGCTATATCTGCCATTGTATTGGTTGGTGGAGCATATGTGTCGACCTCGTGCGGATGGTAGCTGGAGGGAGAATCTGAGGAGGCTCTCAAGGCTGCGGCCGAAAGCCGCGCCCGACCGCCGACCCCGTTCCGTTGAGGTGAGCGGTAGACTCATGACACGCTCTGCGGCCAATTGGCCGTGCTGACCAAGCAATTGGTGGTGATGCCTTAAATTTACATCACGTCTGCAGGAACGGTGGTCTGGCAAGTGGTAGCGCTCACGGAGGGCTTTTTATGGCCAGTGTGCCTATTGTTGCCTAACCTGTGTGACATACATTCACTGTGGCTGGATTTGATCGTATTCTGTATGGCGTTTATGCGCGACTTCGGTCGATGTTTGTGCTTACGCACTATCAAGTGGCCAAAGTCCTCTTGTACTGGTTCGCCAGTTATTTTGCTGTGGACTACGGTACGGAAGGGTACGCTAAGTTCCCAACTTAGCGTACCCTTCGGGGGAGTGCATTATAATGGTTGGCGCTCACCGTGCACGGCGTGTGCGAATCCGTGTACCTCCTCCACATTTTTTTTAAATGTGGGAGAGCAAAGCCCTTGTATCTGGTATTTGATATAAATATTGTGAGCCTTTTCCAAGCGGGACCCTTCCTTTAATCCCTATTAATTCATAAGGAATTGACTGTTGTGAACCTGATACAAGTGGAATAGGAACAATTTATTGTTCTTAACTATTTTGAGCTCTGTCTTCGTGAACGGGGTTCTTTAGCTTATAAGACGCTACCAACAGCTTTCGAGTGCTCTCGTGAATATTCATTTTTCCTAGATACACCTAAAAGAACTAAGTTACTATGCAAACACAACGTAAATAAGGGTCCTAACTACGACGATCACGCCATATTTAATAAACGGCCTATATTTTAACCTTTAGAAAGATCTATATATGGTTAATATATTGGTCACGTAAATTAGATATATTTATATATCTTATATATATAGATTCTAAACAAATACAAGTATATATAGTATATATATATATAGAAGGGGGGGGGGGTTCGTTACAACAGCATCACCTGTTGACTTTCCATTTCTAAAGCCAAATTGCCTCATCATCATCATTACAGCCCTACACAAGTCCACTGCTGAACATAGGCCTCCCCCAAAGAATGCCGCAAAGCACGGTCCTGAGCCACCTGCATCCATCGACTTCCTGCATGTCTTACCAGGTCGTCACTCCATCTCGTGGGGGGACGCCCTACACTTCGCCTACCGGTACGAGGCTGCCACTCGAGAACCTTTCTTCCCCATCGGTTGTCGGTTCTTCGAGCTATATGGCCGGCCCACTGCCACTTCAGCTTACTAATCCGTTGGGCTATGTCGGTTACTCTGGTTCTACTGCGGATATCCTCATTCCTAAGTTTATCACGCAGAGAAACTCCGAGCATAGCCCTCTCCATAGCTCGCTGAGCGACCTTGAGCTTCCTCATACGGCCAGCAGTGAAGGACCACGTCTCAGTTCCATAAGTCATCACTGGCAACACGCACTGGTTGTACAATTTCGTTTTCAGGTTTTAGGGTATGTCTGACGAAAAGATGTGTCGTAGCTTCCCGAACGCTGCCCAGCCGACTTGAATCCGTCGATTGACCTCTCGGTCGAAGTTGGACTTACCTAGTCGGACTATTTGTCCCAGGTAAACATACTCGTCAACAACTTCGAGCTTAGTGCTCCCAACAACTACCGGCATAGGTGTGACATGGACATTGAACATGATCTTTGTTTTGTCCATGTTCATCTTAAGACCTATCCGTTGGGAAACACTATCGAGGTCATTGAGCATAGTGCTTAGGTCCTCCAGCGATTCTGCCATAAGGACTATATCATCGGCAAATCGAAGGTGAGTGATGTACTCGCCATTGATGTTGATACCGTATCCTTTCCAGTCCAGAAGCTTGAAAACATCTTCCAATGCAGCGGTGAAGAGTTTCGGGGATATGACGTCACCCTGTCTTACACCTCTCTGCAATTGGATAGGTTTCGTACTCTGGTTCTGTACTCGGATAGCCATCGTAGCCTTACTATACAAGCACTTCAACACTTCGATATACCGACAGTCAACTTGGCACCGCTGAAGGGACTGCAGCACCGCCCAAATTTCGACGGAATCAAAGGCTTTCTCATAGTCCACATACGCCAGACATAGTGGCAAATTGTACTCTTCGGACTTCTGTACAATTTGCCGAAGGGTATGTATGTGGTCTATGGTGCTAAAGCCCTTTCGGAAACCGGCTTGTTCGGGAGGCTGGAACTCGTCAAGACTGCGCGCGAGACGATTCGTAATGACTCTCGAAAACAGCACGTAGACGCAGCTCAGAAGGGAAATCGGTCTGTAGTTCTTCAAGAGAGCGTTGTCACCTTTCTTGAAGAACAAGACCACCGCACTTCTGCTCCACGCCTCCGGTGTAATGCCACCATGGAGGACGGAATTAAAGAGCTTCTGAAGGACTTCAAGTACCGGTCTTCCACCCGCTTTCAGAAGCTCTGCTGTAATTCCATCCTCGCCTGCGGCCTTACCGTTTTTAAGGTGCTGGAGAGCCATTTTAATCTCGCTCAGACTGACGTCCGGGATATCTTCGGAATAGTATCGGATGAGACTCGCTCTTGGATCGTTACTCACACTTGCGTGTGGCTCCAACGATGACGTGTACAGCTGCCCATAGAACCTCTCAATCTCACTCAAAATCTCAGGTGTCCCGGAAACGATGCTGCCACATTCTGTCTTCAGCTTTGACAGGTGGCTCTTTCTGGCAGACAGATCTCTGGCAAAGACTTTGGAGCCTTGGTTCCGCTCGATCGCTTCTTCAATACGAGCTGTATTGAAGTTGCGTAAGTCCCGCCGCATGCATTTGGAGATCTGTCTGTTCAGATGCCTGTATGCTGTCAAGTCTGTTGAAGAATGTAGCTTCATCTCCCGTCTAACAGCCATGAGATTAAGAGTGTGATCGGAGAGTTTTTGTGTTCTTCTGCGGCGGGTCTTGCAGAACTTAGCTCCGACCGCATGGACAGTTTCCACGAGCTTGTCATTCATATCGTCCACTTCATTGCAGTCTTCTAGGCACTGAAAACGGTTTTGTAACTCGAGCTGAAAGGTTTCGGGACTTTGGAACAGAGCACGAGGGGGACGGAGCGTTGACTTCATTAGACGAGACCTCTCCAACTTAACGTTTAGGTTCAGTGTACCTCTAACCATTCGGTGATCGCTACCAGTTTTCACCCTCCCGATCACGGAGACATCACTGAACAGTTGTCGTGTGGTCGTCATAATGAAGTCAATCTCATTTTTTGTCGAACCGTCCGGGCTCGACCAGGTCCACTTCCTGTGGGGCCGCTTCTGGAAGAAAGAGTTCATCATAAAGAGTCCCTCTTTCTCCATGAAGTCGGCCAGCTGCTGGCCCCTTGGGTTCCGTTGCCCTATTCCAAATTTCCCTACTTTCAGCTCACCGTTCTCTCTTGTGCCTAGTTTTGCATTGAAGTCTCCCATTAACACCGTATATTGGGTTTTGGAGGAATGCATGGCTCTAGAGATATCCTCATACATTTCCTCCACCTCCTGATCGGGGTGTGCCGAGGTTGGTGCGTAAACCTGTATGACCTTCAGCGAATACCGTTTGGTGATTCTGAGTATAAGGTACGCAACCCTCGTCGACACACTCCCGATCTTTACAACGTTGTTAACGAGAGACTTGTGGACGATAAATCCGACACCTCCTTGGGACAGATGGTCGCCCTCCCAGTGATAGAGCAAGTTGCCGGATTCGAGGATTACCGTGGCCTCCCCCTCTCTTCGGACTTCGGATAATCCTATAATATGCTAGCGCAACTTGTCTATCTCTTCTTCCAGCTCCACGATCTTCTCGTCAGTCCTCAGGGTGCGTGCGTTTTATGTTGCCAGGTCGAGTCGTCTAAGGTGGCAACCGAACCTCCACCGGAGATTCTTAGCATCCCCTGCCCCGCCGTTACCATGGTCGCCACCGTAGCCAGGAATAGCGGGGCCGCCGGGGACTGGGGGCCGTCTCTTTGTTACATTCATAGGGGGGTATTTGCCATAGTTGCCACGCTTGGCGAGCGGGTTGGCAACCGCAGTTTTTTTATTGTAATTTTGGCTATTATCAGGAAGATGTTGCTGCCCATCTCCTGCCTGTTTCCCTTTGTCGCCTTTTACGACACCCACGGGAGGATATGGGGTAGTGGTATTCTCGACCGCCACTACACGGCAGAATTGCCTCGGCGATATTAAATTATTGAATTCAATGAACTTTGTTAGTCTGTTGTTAACCACCTTCTCAAGTAATTTGGATAATGTTGTCAGCAAAGAAATGGGACGGTAGTTTCGTGGGGTGTGTTTAGGCCCATTTTTATAAATAGGTTTAATGCATGCCTTCTTCCAGTTTTCTGGAAAAATACCAGTCGACAGACTTAGATTGAATATGGCAATAAGAGGAGGGATGATTACATCTTTAATTTCTTTTAAAAGAGGATTACTTATGCCATCATTACCCAGGGCTTTATCATTGTGCAGTGATAGAATAAGGGCATGTAACTCATATTCATCTGTAGGGTGCACGAAGTGAGTTTGTTATAAGGTTTTTTGGATAAACTTTTGTCGCTAGATTTTTTCCTCAGTTTGTAATTCGCGTAGAATACTATTTGCTAGAGTTTGCCCCACCGTAGAGAAGTAGCTATTGCACTTGTCGAAGGAGTGCTTAGCGTCTATCGTCCCATCCATCTTTAGTAATTCATGAGGTTCATGTTCATTTGCAGAAAAATGGCAAATGTCCTTTATTGATCTCCATAACTTTTTTGGATTATTTAAATTACTAGATAATGTTTTGCTTTGGTATTATGTTTTGAGTTTACGTAACAATGCATTGCAAAAATTACGATAGCGAGTATGTATAATTCGTTTGAGTGTGTCATGTGGATTTTCTCGCGTCCGCATGTACAAACGGTATCTGTGTCTCATACAGCGGATTAATCCGGAAGTGATCGAAGGTTTCATATTATGTTCTTTACGTTACAATGTTACTTTACTTGTGTACGTGCTTATTGTTTGAAATACCCGAAGAAAAAAAGTATTTACTGTTTTATTAGGGTCATGAGAGTCAAATGATTCGGACATCGGAATTAATAATATTACTCTTAAAAGATCTAAAAAAGAAAAGTACCTCTGTATATTATTCGATGACAAACTGATATGGGACTCTCATATAGACAAAATAACATCAAAATTACCATCACTTACGGGAGCATTACAAAAGGTATCAAACTGTATTCCATACAAAATCAAAACTACTATGTATTTAAAACGCCCTTGCCAAGCCAAACCTGTGCCTGCAGTCTCGACATAGGTAGCAACGCCATTGCTAACTGCCGATTGTTAAATAACAACGTAAAAAAATGTTTGCCGTAACGATGCTTACGATAAATGCATGTCTCTACAGCCGAGATACCGAACAAAATTCTGACATATCTTCACTTTATGATGTTGTTACGCTAAGAAAAAACGTATTCATATTGCGGTGTTTTCTTAAAAAAATATTGGCTGTTAAAAAATCTCTTTGAATCACAGGGAAAATTGGTAGACATAATTTTATAAAAATAATTGCTTTTCTTTGAAAATTGAACAGAAACAGTAGAAACATTATTTTATAAAAATAATTTTCATAGCAACTTACAAGCAGCTTTTACCGTTTCTAAGAATTTAACTAACTTGTTAAATATCAATGGACATAAAAGTTTGTCAAAATCAGTACAAAACAAAATTAAAGTTGACAATGTCTCAATGTTAACTTCTTGTTGATTGCAAAAATAATTAATTCTTAGTACGTATCATGTTCTTTTTTGTATCATGTTCGTGATATTTTCAATGGTGGGGAACAGTTATGCAGGCGCAGGCCCGGTTTCGAGCTGCATGTAAGTACACCCTACAACACCTAATTTCGAATCTATCGTTGTACCTATATTGAATGCTTTGTTAAAAGACTATGTAATGTTTACATTTTGAATATACTTCTTTGTATTTTTCAGACGTAAACGGTGGCAGATTGAGCCACTTCTGTCGAAGTCAGCAGCTCGTCCATTTTTGTTTATAAGAAACTTTACCAGCCTGCAGGCCAAGAAGAATTTTAAAATGGGCTGGAAGAAAGTAGTTGACGGTTAAAATTTCCAATATGGACCATCGATTTAAATGCCCATATTTTTTTTGTAAATAGTGCTCACTAAAAGAAAGCGTTTTGCAAGTTTCAATATGATGAAACGTGTACTTTTTGAGAAAAAAGTTTATTGAAAATCAATTATTTTTGCAAATTTATGTCAATTCTTACGGTAAACCTGACGCTATTTTGTATTGTCATTGTCATCGTTAGTAGGGATGTCGATTCTTTCCGAAAAAGATCGATTTTATAAATCGATTTGAAACGTAAGCTGATGTATTGATTCACAAAAAAATCGATTTCTATAATTTCGATATTTTTTCATGTTGCAAACATGAAAAAATATCGAAATTTTAGAAATGTTTTTTATAATGAAATTGTCCCACAGCTGGTCAACCTTTCACATCTTTTTTCTAGCAAGCAGTAATTAAGTAAAGACCACATAAATAATTATGTGTAAGAGTTTGATTACTAACAAAATACCATTGACTATGGAATAAACTTTTGTACTTCCATGTCACCTATACACGAGTACATATAAAAGTACTTATTATTGGTACTTATATGTACTTTTTAATACGAATAATATTCAGATACAATTGAGCAATGACATATACCCATAATGGGTATTTTTTGAATAATACACACAAACAGTCAGGCCTGTCACCCAGAGGGGTAGGTAGAGACTACGTACGGACTTCCATTTGGCACGATCCTGATCCGTTTTTGAATAATAATTTTAGGTTATTTTCTAGTTTTAGGTTATTTGCTATTTTTAAGTATATCTTTTTTCTCCCACTTTTTTAGACTTACATCCCATTTGCTTTTTGTTAGTTTTGTCACGATCTACAACTATTAATAAGTTTCCATGATGAACGCTACTCCTATCAGTGGGTCCCAAAATACGTGCATTCTTGCCATCCTCCTTTCATATGAATCTCTTCTGCCTAAATATTTAATAATAAAATATTTGCTAACATATCAATAAATTGTAAAGTTTTCAATAGTGTTGTTACGGTAACGTCATTAAATTGATAGCTTTGACACTAGAGACTACCAAATATTGTTATACTCGGTTTGTTATGACTTAACAACTGATATGGGTTGTTAGGCGATCGTTTATGATTAGGCGACCTGATTCTAATAGAATTCAGGAATTATTTTAGTGGTTAAAAGAATTCCTGAATTCCTAGGAATTCAACATTACGATGATAATTGTAAATATGCTCCGAAAAAAGGGAAAAATTTGTGTTATTAGAGGAATTGCTAATAGAGTTATGAATTTCTACGGTAGGCTGTGAAGCCGAAGTACTTTTACTATGGC